CTCCGTGTTTTTTTTAGCAGGTCGCTAACTGGAATAAGGCGGCCGGTGGTGTTTATCTGCCTCGGGACGAGGTGGCTCATAAGTGGTGAGACCATCAGGTCGCAGCGACACGGTCATGTTACCGGGGAAATCTCCTGCCAAACACAGCCTTCTGTGCAGAAACACTGAATAACCCTCTTTGTGAGAGGACCAGTTTTCTGTGGACTATTTATCATAATTGGTAATATTTATTCCCATGTGAACTCATGTTAAAATTGTGCTGATTATTCCCAATAGCTTCATAATATTCATGCTTTTCCTCTCTGTTTTTTCCGCAAAAAAAAAAAAAAAAAAAAATTGCAGAAAAGGTTCTTGTGTATTTTCTGTTTTTTTTTTTTTTTTTAATCAGGATTGTTGAGGTCATAAAAAGCTAAATAACAGCATTATTCTATTTTTCAGCCAATATAAGAGTTCTGGGGTCGGGTAGAAAACAATAATTGCTTTCACAGCGCTCAGGTTTTTGAGGTTATTTTTGCTCTGGTGCTTTTAGATAAGGAACAGCTTGGAATGAAAAAAAAAAAAAAACTAAAACAACCCCACAATAATCACGAGAGTCAACTTTTATGAAGTTTATGAACAGCTGGTACAACATTCCATGCACATTAAATAAATCAGTCCTCTATTAAGTCATTATACCAATAAGAAAAGTTAGAAAAGAACATTTTCCCATAACAAACAGCTGCAAATGTACATCTGGATGGCTGATGGATGCGAAAACCTCTAGATCGGATCTGCCGTTCTCACCGCTGAGGCTGTGAGCAGCTGGTAAAGGTCAGTGGTGGTAAAACTACCTACTCGGTGGCTTGATTTGAACCGCAGTGCTGCTTCCTGTTCAGCCCAGGTTTTTATGAACTCAAGAGCCTGTCCCCACAGATCTCCGTGCCGTTTGGATTGTTCGACCTTTGCGCGCCTTGCTTCATTTCCCCCGGTTACACAGTCACGGTGGCATCAAGTGCAACGAGGATAAGGAGCGTCGGTTTTGCGGGTTGGCTGCTTTGGCTCATTATGCCGACAACTGCAGAACACAAAGTGCTCCGGTTTCTCTAATTATTTTCACCTTTCCGAGCATCACCGCCGGCCCGACTGCGGCTTTCCAATAGCCGCTTAACACGTGTGTGCGTGTGTGCAAAAGTGAACGGGTTTAACAATGCTTCATCTGCACTTCGGCGTCTTGTGTCAAGTGTTCCTGGCTGGGAATTTTTATGAAGCTCCCAGCTTCCAATTAAAGCTGTCCTTTGCCAAGAGCCAGGCCGTCATGAAAGAATACGAGGTGATTATTTGTACTGTATTGTCCTGAAGAGGACATTGTGTGAACACAAGCGAATGCTACATTCTTGGGCGTGTAAGTGACAAAACAAAAAAAATACAACCTTTTGTATGACGGCACAAACTGCTGCGTTACTCCAGGTTGGAGCCATGACATTTTCAGTGCAATAATGAGACACCTAAACTTAGCAACGAGGGATGTACTGACCAAATTATTTTTTTGTCCCTCTTACATATCTGAATTATTTAAGAGGAGGCATTCGCCCTTTGTTTCTTATTTTAGTTCAGTACCATGCAGCTAAATTTGTCAGCAGCTTCTTGAAGTGGCCCTGTTACAGCCGCTGGATAAATGAGTTATAAGTGCATTTAATTTTCCTTTGGGGTTAGTTATTTAATATTTGAAATGTAACTGAATTGAACACGCTTAAATATTTGATGCTTTAACTTGTAGTGAATTAATGCAATCAATAACCTGCGGTATATGTTAGCATTACGATTGTTTTCCATTTCATTTTCTTACGTTGGAGAGAAAGCCATCTCGGTTTTTCTTTAGATATTTTATTTCAACAGGAGTTCCCGCAGGACAGCCATGTTTCCTAACATAATCTGACTCAACATGCAGTTGGATCTAAAATTCATTTAATTTAATTTCATTTTGTTGTTGTCTGATAGGAAATGAGACAGGTGTCTCGAAAGATAACTCAATGTGAAATGAGTACAGATAAATACTGTATATTTTTCCTGTCATCATTAAATAGTAAAAGTTATTTACTTTACACCTTTATAACATTGCAACAATCCAACCCATTTGATTTCAAGTTCATTAAAATTATTAAACCCTTATTAGAATTAAAGTTGGCTGTATAAATGTTCTGTGTGACTCCAGAACATTTATGTTGCACCCAGTCAGAATAAACATGTTAATGAAGATATTATTTTAAACAAATCTGCCAGAGGTATTCATAATTTTGGATTCAGTCGTATTGCTTCACTCTTCAAAAATTCTGCCTTTTGCTCCTCTTGTTAATGCACTAGGATGTTTGCTCTCTGTTTTGAGCAAGGCTGGAACTTCAGTTCATTCATTTTGATGAATGAGATGCAAAAATTGTAACTAAGTATTTACATTTCCAGTCAAATTAAGTGACTGTAAAGAGCGACGCAGAGAGAAGCTGAAGATTTCTAAATATGGAACTAAGTGACGAAAGTTCCATTCTATAAAACAGAGACATTTCACTTTTCCCCCAATATATCTGCATGACTTACAGTATGGACTGTAAAGCTCCTGGCTTAATGATTATTAGAGATGTTGTTGCATGTAACTCCAGTTGGACCTGTATGGTTGGATGAACCACACAAGTTGTCAAGTTACCATACCTGTCATTCGCTGCACTTCATGAAGCAAACAGAAAAATATTGTAGTAAATTTTTGTGTCTAATACTTGGCTACTTCTTCCAGAACTGATTCTCACATTAGTAGAGGAACTGCGGACTTTAGTAACGTCTCTGATAATTAGCAATTAATTATCAACAGATTCCCAACCACAGTTTTAACTTTTCGTTGGCACAGCATAAGTGAGAAATTTAGCCTTGTCGTAGCGACTCTGAATTAATGATATCACTTCTTTTTTCACTTACAATGATGCAATAAATGTAACTTCTGTCTTCTGTTTTCTATGTTTACCCAAGACTCTGGGTAAATAGCAGAGTCTTGAGTGTTTACGTCAAAGTCTTTTTCTTTGTCGTAGATCATGCATCTAAGATACATTGATCATCAGAGCCCTCATATCTATGACAAATGACTAATTACTCCACGTTTTATTCTTTTTTTTCACATACGGTATACGTGACGTTTGTTTTCCGTCCATGGTTTTCTCCTCCTCTTTGTTTTGCTTGAGCGAATCCTTATACTCAGCTATACATTTCACTGCTGCACTGATTGCTGTTCAGACTTTCCTCCGCCATGTTCATTCATCATGTGCATGTCTTGCCCCCACCCCCGTCAAATTAAGAACTCTCTCATTGGAATCACGCCAGGGTAAATATTGTTGTCTGCTGTTAGTGATTAAGCACAATTGTTCCTAAGCTATTAGATTTGGGAAAATGACTCCGTTTCATAATGGAAACATAAGCAAAGGCCACAGGAAGTTCTGAAAAGCCTTCCCTTTAATGGCCAGCAGGTGATCTGGTAATGGGTCTTGACTTTGGGCTGATGCGTGTGTCATAGCCTGAGTGAATCGTCCGACCGAGCGTTGTAATTCCACTTCTCATGCAGCTGAGCGGCTCCTCCGCTGCCCTTGGTGCCGAGTGGCAGAACATTCCCCATTGACTTTGATTCCTGAGGAGCAGCAAAGGAGCAATTGTGGATGTCCTCAGCAGGGAGGGTCGGGAGGGACAGAATACAGATCAGGGAGGCTCTCCTCGGCGTTCGTCCTTGAAAATGGCTGAAGCTACTTGTGTCAAAAAAGTTTAGTCTGTAGGAATAGTAGACTTGATTCTGGATGGCAGGTCTTTTAAGCTCCTCTTATAACTCATAATGTCCTTTTTATGACATTGTCAGTTGCTGGCTGCTATTTGGCAGGTGTACTTGAATACAGTCAGAATGTGTTTGTCTTTGTATCGGTCAGCTCATTAACAGGGTTATGAGACAGAGACGGATGAAAAACAACCCAGAACGTTTGTATTCCTCAGATACCCAAGAGAGTAATTTGTTGCCAGTTCCCAGTCTTTGTCGTTGGGAAAACTTTGACCTGTCAGGATCAATTTGAGCCAATTCTGATTTGATTTGAAGAACTAAAATGACTACATGAAAACGACATTCTTTTTTTTTTTTTTGTCTAGTTTTTCTGCTGTAAGTAGTCATTAATAATTTATAGAGGTGACATCATGTCGCTGTGGTACAATGGAAAAGAAAGTCATTTCAGAAGTATGCATCTGAAATTAGCCTTGTTAGCACAGGTAGCATTGAAAAGAAAATGTTCTTCATCTATATTTCAATGGAATGAAAAAAAATCACTTTTTTTAAAGAATTAATCTGGCTCTAGTGGCTAAGTCTTTACAGCAGCAACACCAAGAAGAGTTTTTGCTTGCATGTTATTTGTGTGTTGTTGTTTCAGTATGGTGTGTTTAGTGGTCAGAAAAAGAAAAAAAAAAACTGAATTGTTTAGCTTCCGACCCGTTTCTCTGTGTGTCTTTGCTTTTCTTGAGAATCAAAATTATTTTCTGATAAACAATCTGCCTCTTTTTAGAAATATGTTCCAGTTTCGAGGGACAAGGGTGTTCAGAAAATGGATGGATGGATGGATGGATGTTCCAGTTTCCTGTGTGCTTCGGATTGCCAGCGTTCCCTTGATTAGCACTCGTTTTAACCTTTTTTACGCCAGCGTCCTTGAAACGGTCTTATAGGAAATGTTCATTGTGCAGTCACACAGTGTTGCTGTCCTTGTCTGAAGTTATCTGTTGGCTGGATGCTTTATCTTAGCAATTTGTGAAGCAAGATATTATTATGTTTATCACACAGCGTCTTTGAAGGAAGCAGAGTCTGAAGTTGCTTCAGTATGATCACATATTTGTCAGATATTGTGCTATCAGGCCTCCCTGACTGTATGGAATTGAATATTGATGGAGTTTTAAAAGTTTGAAAGTCATACTTTTGAAGAAACTTATGTAAATGCCTCCCGCTTCTGTTTATTTTGCAGGCGTCTACCAGCTCTCTCCAACTGTGAACATGCCACAAGACGACACGGTGATGATTGAGGACGACAGGCCGCCCCTGCTTCCTGCCCACCTGTCTGACCTGTCGTCCTCCAGTTCCCACGACGACATGGGCTTTGTGGGAGAAAACCCGGTTGCCTGGATACATGAGGTGCCCAGTAAAAATGAATGGTAGGTTGCAAGTTGTTCTTTAGAACTGGTTAAATTTTTCATGTATCGTTGAACTCTAGGTAACCCTTGGTGGAGAGAAGCAGGATGCTGGTTGTTTTAAAATTTTGAACTAAAAAAAATAGTTGCTGTGAAATATAGCATATTCATATCTCTAAACCTTATTATATTTTGCCAAGCAAAGTATGGTGGTAGGGGGCGCTGTGGTGGCGCAGGCCTGGCGACCTTTGCTGCATGTCTTCTTCCTTCTCTCATTACCTTCTTTCCTGTCAATTCACTATCAAATAAAGGCCACTAGAGCCAATAAAAAAAACCTTAAAAAATAAATTATGGTAGACCATGATGCTAAGGACAACCCAAGCTAACCATTCCACTACATGAGTGGTGTCCAAACTTTTTGCCCTGATTGTTAAAACTGGCAAATTTAAATTACTGGCCAG